ACTTTTAGCTGCGCTCATTTCGCTGGTTATAATTATAGGTCTCTTTTGTTTCTCCTGATATTTTCCTTCGTCCTGATACCAGGCTAGTTCCAGCCTAGGACCCGGAATGGCTCGCTCATATGCTAAGGCTCGGCGTATGCGTCACAAGTCAGGTTCATCTGATAAACCTCTAACTTCATGTAACCAAGCCTCTTTCATCGGATCAGCCTGTTCAGCCATCGGTGTTAATGATGGTTCCGGCTCTGATACTCCCTTCACTCAGTCGTCTTCATCTGCCGCCAAGTTTACTGTTACCAGCCCTAAATTAGTGCTGATAGATGCCGGTAGAATCAACTTAGACTCTATGGACAGGGACTTTTCCGGTAGTTTCTGCGTTTCTGATTTCTCTGGTAATCGCAATTTTACTCATTGCGGATGCAATTTAGCCCATTCTTCCTGTACAACCTATCCACCCTCTATGGCGTCTCCGGGTTCAAGCCCGCTGGAGGTTCTCGACCTGGACTCTGCTAACACTAACTTGATTGGTTCTGGGCTTTATGGTGAATCGGTAACAAGTTCATCTTCCTATAGATTGCCTCCATGCTTGGGTATAACACGGAAGCACAAGAAACTTTCTGGCACTTCAAGTTTCTGCTCCTCGACCGACCATACCTCCTTCGTTGAGGGTGATGAGGACAGCTTCTGTGTTGATTGTGTGGAGAAACAGAGGGATTCCCAAATAGTTAGAAAAGTCCAAAAAGCCAGCTTAACCCCATTAACCAAGGTTTCCACTATACTGGATGGTTCAACTATGGATACGGGCCCACAGCAGCTTCAGCAACAGCAGCTTTATCAACAGCAACAAACATGCCACAATGACTCAGACACACCTGAGGTTAAACCAATATTGGAGTCTCCGCCTCGGAAGCTCCAGCGTTTCGTAGACCCTCTCGCTCCGGATTTGGTCGCATCTTCTATTCCAGCTCCTCCAAACTACGATCGATACATCGCATTGAAGTCAACTATGGAAATAAAAGTGACGGAGAAATCTTCAGTGGCGACTACTTTTCGTCAGAACGACGGCGGCCATCGGATGGAGGAAGTAATCGCAGGCTTAACTCATCTCAACGTTGTCCCAGAGTCTAAGGCTCTAGGCGAGGATAAGACTGGTAAAAGCATGATACTGATCATTTAGTTTTTCTATCTTTAACTATGACTAATGGTCTATTCCTGTATTAATTCCTTCATTTATAAATTGGGGTGTCCTAGTCTAACCAGCATTACGGTTATATTTGTGCATACATGACATTATGACTACTGCTAACTATCAGGTATTTTTGCAGGAAGCACCAGTTGCTATCATCGTCTGAATAAGAAAATGTATGATCGGTTTGTCCTCATAGATACTATAAGAAAGCTTTTTCGAAAAGAAGTTTTCCCTTTTCCATCTGCCTATAATGGCCTGTGCTATTTAATTAATAAGATAACCTATGAGATAATTTTTCTGATCAAATATTTGTTCAATATTTTGGAAACATTGCGATAGCTCAAGTTAATTTTATATTTTGCCTTAAGTTACATTTTTCTATATGTTTACATATATATAAAGGTCTATAGTCCGAAAATATTCTCATAAATTTTACTTTTTTTTCTGTATTAAACTTATACTACTCTACCACTTCTGGAAATCAGCTTTCATCTTTATTTCATCAGCCTTAAATGGGCTCTTTTGTTTCAAATAATCTTTTTGTTCAGATGTCTTTTCCAAATCTCAATCGTATGAGTTGCTTTAAGTTAACTACGTGGGGCAGTTCACATCAGACTATTCAATATTTGGTAGTTTTCATACAAGGAACTAAGGAATGGGAAGATTATAGATTTGGCATCATGGATAGAGTTGGTAGGCCAATTAGACCAAAACCCCAGTCTATATATGCAGCTGATACCAGAGCCAGTTTACTCATAGTGCACGAATGTAATCGTAGAAATTAAGTAAAGGTTTTATTATATGAAGTATCCCATTTACAGGCCGAACTGGGATGAAAAAATCAATACTGTTAACTTAGTCTTACATCCAGGTTTTAAAGGCCCGAACTCACTGAGCCTTTAAAGCTAGAGGGAGAGTTTGATAGGACTTGGATGGAGCAGATTTTCGACTGAAATGGCCAGAGGTGAGTGGATGAGGAAACCAGCAATCTTTAGAGTTTAATCAAACCAATGGGGAGTGTTGAATATACCTCATTAAATGGGTTCATAAGAGGACACCTAGGAGAAAATATACAAATTAAGAGTTGTGGTAGGGAAGGCGGAGATACAAGGATGTGGGATAGGTGAATTTACCAGTTCAGAAAAAAACGATACTACAAGTTTTCAGCAGAAAGGGATGTATTTTACCTCTCTTTTTGATAAGTTTTAACTTCATGCTAAGATTGGTAGAGCTCAATGGCGATTCTGAGTGCATTCCTGTCGAAACTCGTGGGAATATGCCATGTCCACGGCTCGACGCTGAAAATTATCATGGTTGAT